GATGAATATCTCTAGATTGTTCTGTTTATACTTTGTCTAGACATTGTTATTGTTAATTGGCACCATCATTTCATTTGATTAGGCCTTTGGTAATAATGAAACCATCTTTTCAAGATATTGAATTTTCTTAAGCATATAAGTTCAAAATATCTTCGTTTGTCCTATTACATCCTAACGCACATGTTGGATGTGTTGACAAATCCATATATTCATTTCGCTAAATAACTCATATTCATTATTCTGGGCTTAGCATACAAAAATTTACAACATTTTTAATAATAAGAATAGTCCATATATACAAGAGAGGTATTAAGGGTTAATAATTGAGTGGATTATCGGTTCCTCTTAGATACAGGTGCCGAAATAATGGATGCATAAATAATTCTTATGTTCGAAATTCTGACGGATAGGGAAGCCTTTGGGCATCTGATATGGGTGTTTCGTTGACGTTATTTAGACATAAAGACTAACGAAATAAAATATTTTTCTCAACAATAACGTTTTACGGCAAATTGAGGTGGGAAATATTTTAAAAAATGCTTTTTCCAGCCATGGCCAAACCTGATTTAGCAATACCATGAATTTAATAACTTATCATATGCATAAAAATGAGCTTTCAACATTCCTATCAGAATGTAATTAGATCGATACTTTCATTTTTGCTAACCATGTTTTACATATGAGCTTTAATGAACAACTTATATTCCTATTAAAAAAGACTTAAAGTTTAATCTTTTCAACTTCAGGTATTACAATATAAAGAAAAGTCTCGGGCCTTAGAGACAAAAGTACAGCTTCTTGAGAATGAAAAAAGAGAGCAGAAAGTAAGCTTATTTTAATTTGGCATGCTCTTATCTCTGATTTAATAACTTCCCTCTATAAAATATCAAATTGTAAAGTTTTACATCCTCTTTATAACTCCCTTCGCTATTTTAGGCAAAAATGGAAGAGAATTCTGCAGAGCTTGAAACTGCTCTAATAAGGCTGGAAGAAGAGCAACAAAGGTGGGTCTTACCGTTTTATTATTGAATTTAAGTTTATACTATATAATAACAGTTCAACAGAATTTAAGAGCTTTTCTTTAAACCTGCAGCCTGATAAATAGGTGGTATTCATAGCTTTCACGTTAGTAACATATTCAGGCAAATTACCAGCACTTATATTTCCGTTTCCAAATAGGATAGCTGGATGACCTTTATAGTCTCCTATATGTCCGTATCCTGATTGATGGGACTCTACTAAGAATTTTTCTCAACTTGGTGATGATCCACATCTATAATTGCTGCAGCCTAGGATTTGCCTCGTGATTCCCCTCTCAGGTTTGCAGAATAATGTGGCAACAAAGTTTATCGAATTAGTATGATCACCAGTTCTTATTGTACTCCTATTTGATACCTTGTTTGTTCCCACACAGAGCAGCTACTTTGCACAGTGTAAATTGCATGCTTCGCGACCAGCTAGACCAGTCAAGTCAAGCAAACAACTGCCTATCTGGCAATCTACAAGATACCCGGGACGAGCTCCACCAGCTACGTTGTACTTTACAAACCAGGCAGACTGAATGGCAGAGTGAAGCTGCTGCATTCCAAGACTATCTGGCGGGAGAGCATACACGACTTTTGGTGCTCTGGCGAGCTACGGTCTCCTGTAAACGTCATTTCACTGAACTTAAATGCCAGGTGGAACGTGAGCTAGCAAACGTAAACGCCGAAGTGGGTCGGTGTTCTCGTGCTTGCATGCAGGCTTGTGACAACCTTAAGGCAAATTTAAAGGGAGCTGAACTTCAACACCAAGTAGGAAATAACAAGATCTAAAGCCTTTATCTTTGAACATGATTTTTTCCAAAAAAAAGATGCAGTAGGGGAGAAAAAAGGACGTATAAATGCTTTTAGCCTTTATTCTCCTTGTTTAAAATTTCTAATTTGAGATGTCTGACCAGGCATCAAACAAGTTGAGTGGAGGATAGACGAAACTGAAAAGGGGCTAATGAATAGTATCTCCGGATATTATTATTCCCAAGGGGATATGTGCTTCTTAGTAAGCTATTTGATGCCATCTAATTAGCACTGTTTTCCTTAAAAGCAAGAGCAGAAAGTGTAAGTTTACTAGGGATTCAGAATATTTTTCCTTTTCTGATATCATAATCTATATTATTTGGAAACTTTTAATTTGTAGTCTTTCTTAGTTAATTCTCACCATTTTTGGGCACATTCTTTAATTCGGGTTGTACGTAAATGTTTGTATTGGCCATACTATTTCTAATGCTACTGTATCTAGCTCCGTGCTGCCTCCGTTAGCAAATAAGGGATCCGGACTCCATCTTGCATTTTAGGTATTGCAGACTACAAGCTTTCATAGCTTTATAAAGGGACCCGTTCGCTGGCAGACTGCTTTGTGCTGGCTGGGCTATGTGACGCAGTGAAAGCAATGTTGGTTTGGCATATAAACTTAAAATGTCCTTGCCTATGAACAATCTGAATAATGTAATCTTATTTTAGTGAATACACCTCGTAGTCATCTCAGCAGAGTGCTATGAGAAAGCATCCTGTATCTTTCCTCAATCGTGGCTAACTATTCGTACTGCCTTCGCCTATCCTTTGGCATCTTATGGCAAACAAATCGGTTCCGGATTACTATTGTTTGCCCTTGTTTTTTAATTTTTTTAAGTATACTTCTGTCTTCCATGCTTAAGCGGGCCATTGTATTTCTAAATAAAATTAGATAAAGATAAAGATTCAATCAGGCCCTTTTTGCTTTTATATCAAAATTTTGATATAAATATCAAGAAAGTACGATAATAATGCACCTTCCCGACTCACAAAAGAAAAGTAATTAACTTATTAAGTTAGTAACATTGTTTGCGTGCATGAACTATTCTTGCCCTATAACTCTCCATCATCATTAAATAAGCAAATATAATCGGTTTTTAATAAGAATATGGACCAGCTTAAGCTGGTTAAGGTGATAGAAGACTGATAGTTGATACTCCTACAATCAAATGAATAGGTGATCTCACAATGTCAAAAGTTCACTTTATCTATTGTCGTTAATTTGGTGTTCAAAAGATAGAAGTCTAAACAACATCTAATTTGGTAAATGTATCAACTTGCTCGTCCGCTTTGTTGTTTATCTTCTTTGTTTGTTGGAATAAGGTTTAAAGAAGGGCCTTTTAAATCGTATATATGAAGACCAAGATGGTGTGGCCTTCTTTTTGGTCGCAGTCTCCTTTATCTTTATAGTGTTGGTTCGACCTTGTTTTCGCAACTTTGTCGGAGCGTCAGGGAGACCTTGTTGAATACACCTAGTTCCATGTCCTCTGCCATGGGAATGTATTTAGTCATTGATTGGTTTAATGTTGGAAATAATGAATACAATGACAGAGGACACGGGACTAGGTACGTTACATATGGTCTCCCTGACGCTCCGACCAAGTTGCGAAAGCAAGATCAAACCAGCACTAGGGCCTTTTAAATTGCATTGATCTTGTCAACGATTTCCAAGAGCTGCTAATTATCCGAACTACGTATACATTTTGGTAAATTTTAAATTCGTGTTACAGATTCTTGTTTCTTTAGTTCAAATTCTCTAGTCTGGTCCACGTTGTTTTCTTATTTCTAAACATTTAAATAGGTTTACAAAATTATTTATTTAAGATAATGCACGTACAGAAGAAAAAACGTTTTCACAATCGTCTCTCATCATATACTTTAGAATATTTTCGCCAACTAACCTTGTAAGTATAGATAATTTGGCATTCAAGGATATCGCTTCGTTACAGCAGGTTTTATCATGACTGTTAATGGGTCCATATCATTTTCGTTTATTCTTATAGTTCCAGGACTCTGTAGTTTGATGGTGGCCAGTTTTGATGACCTGACTTACATTATTTCAGAAGTACGGACAATATTTTGAAATGTATACTGTATTTAAATATACTCGATGATTTTGGCAAAGTTTGGAAGTTTACTTTCATTTTGTAATTAGTGTAGCCTAAGCATAGCCTTCTAAGGAAGTGAGGACAAAGTGAATCATTTATCTCGCTTAGGATGTACACATTTTCACCGTAACCAAGTACTTCGGCGATATCCTAAAAAGTGCATTGACTCTCGTCTCATTATGCAGATTTTTTGAAATAGCAGGATATTGATTTACTACATGCTAATGTTCGCTATGACAACTTCAGCTAAACAAATTGAATTTTCGGCCCACAAATAAGTGATGACTTGCACATTATGACTACTTATCCTGGTATTTTATGTCAGGAAACATGAACATTATGGTTGC